CCTAGAATTGCTTTTGCTATTCTAGGTCTCTTACGGTTCCAAATGAATTTTTGGATTGTTTTCTCCAGTTCCATGAAATATATTGTTGGAATTTCAATTGGCATTGCATTAAATCTATGTAGCAGTTTTGGAAGTATGGCCATTTTCACTACACTGGTTCTTCCTACCCAGGAGCAAGGGATGTTTTTCCATTTTTTTATATCCTGTTTATACCACATTGTTTTCTAAAAGAAAGGCATGGGCTAATTTGAATCCCAGCCCTGCCATTAACCAGCTATGTGGCCTAGGTAAGTCACTTAATCTTTCTGAACACTGGTCTACTTGTCTATTTTGGAGGGTAAATGGGAGAAACAAATATCTACATAGCAGAGCCCCAGGCACACAGTAGGGATGTCTCATTCATGAGTGATCCACTGAGCACCAGCAACCTGCTCTTCCATACAGAAGCTTGCAGGGCCTTCTCTCCTCCCAAGGGTCCAGGTATAACTTTAGTCCCCACAATGTGTCATCCCTTTTCCTCCTTTCTAATCTGCCTAAGGCTGTCAAGTGATAGGACTTCTTACACAGTTTAAAGCTACAAAAAACAAGGTGACAGCTGTAAGGACGAGAGAAAACAAAGGTCCATCCCTGCAATGAAGTCATGCTACACATGTGCAAGGGTGTCACCAGATCTGCATATGCAGGTGCAATTAAAAGGTCAGTTGAAAGAACAATGGATACAGCATGAGTCCACACTGTCTTACTACACTTATATACACAGTTAAAATGCACAAATCTGGGAGGACACACAAAGGGCTAACTAACTCTGACTAGCAGCACAGGTGCTAACAGTTTGGGTGATTTTTTTCCCCTCCAAGTGTGTTATTTTTCCATTTTTAAACATAGGAACATTTCGGTATTTATAGGGAAAAAAGATGGGGTCACACTGCAGCCGTCCCCAGTGGTTAGATGCTATCTTAGAATGTGTATTCAGCAGGCACGAGTAACTACAGCAAAGAGCTCTGCACACAGCAGCCTGAGCTCTGTGTCCCCAGGAATTACGGGGACCAGGAAGGGCCAGAGCCTGGACAAGCAGGGCCCCGGCACAGGCCTCCACATGGGCCCAGACGCTACAGCAGCTCCGGCAGTGCTGGCCCAGCCTTGGCCCTGGGGAGCCAACCAGGACCGTGCACTGCAGGGAGGCCGTGGCAGTGTCACCCCCTCACCCTGTTGGCCTCACCGAGGGCCCCCTCTAAGGGGAGCTCCCAGTCCCCCAAAGCAGGCTTGGTCCTTCCCCATCCCTTCTGGGTCCTCAGACTCAGCTCAGTCCTGAATGCTCCCTCAGTTTCTCTCCTGGGGTGAGGAAGCCATGACAGTCCCCCTCCCTCTCACTCCCACACCCTGCTGCTTCTCTCAGGCACTAGTGCAGCTCCTGCCAGTGACTCGCACGAGGACAGAGGCAGGAATAGCTGCCATGTACCAAGCACTGCTGTGAGGCCAGCCCTGCCGACTCCTGACTCCTTCCAACCGTAACCGCACTCGGTCTCCAACGCAATCAGAGAAGATCTGTGCAGTCACGATCCCTCCTCCACAGGGGGAAGGGGAGGGGTCGGTGTGGCTGAGGCCTCCCCAGGAGCTCCCTGCCCCCGGAGGTGTGCCACAGAAGCTGGTTGTGTGGCCTTTGGAGTCCCTGGTGCCTCTGAGATCACGATCTTGGGACCTGTGCCTCCTGGGGGTGGCTGGAGACAGCGGAAGGGCTGTACCTGGTCTATGTGCGCCTCATCCATGTTGCCTTTCTTCTCCAGCACCACCTCCAGGTCTGTGTCTGGCTCCTGCACGAGAGGAAGGAGGCAGGTGAGGTTCAGTACACAGTGAATGGCCCGGCAGCCAGCAGGCCGAAGTCATGAGAGTAAGTCCAGAAAAGACCCCAGACTCAGCATCACTCTGGCCCCTGCCACCTAGCTCTCTTAGCTGACAAAGCCCTGCCCACCCTCCTCCGTATCTTTCCCCCAAACGGTAACACCAAGCTATATGACAAACTGAGGGCCAGAGAGGAAAGTGACCGACACAAGATCACCTAACCACTCAGGGACAGTAGTATTAACCAAGCTCCTCCCTGGGCCAGCTGGGGCTGGCTGTTCACAGGAAAACCCATGGGCTAGGATGTGGTTCAGCAGCAGAGCACTTGTCTAGCACTGGTGAGGCCCTGGGTTCATCCCTGTACCATAAAAAGGAAAAGTAAAAAAGAAATGGTGGAAAATCCAGCCTCCTAAGGCCTGTACATATACCTTCCATGTTGCCCCTGCCCACCTCCTCCCTGTCTTGGAAAGAGAACCAAGAGCTGTCTCACGGAAGACCATCATTTCTTGGGCTCTAAAGACTGGCTTCTAGGAAAGGGTACACAGGAGGATTCTGAGAAGGAGCCCAAGTTGGGGTTTGAATCCCAGCTCCACTTCTTCCTAGCAGGGTGACCTTAGACAAGGTCTTTTCTCCTTTGAGCTTGTCTCCTTGTCTGTCAGTGGGGTGACAGGAGCAGCTACCTCAGCACACTAGTGGGTGGATCAAACGGGTCAATACATGGACAGCATTTATCACCACCCAGGAACACAGTAAGCCCTCAGGAAATGACACCGACTGTGACGGCACACGGCACATGACAGGACACACACCATCCTGTTTCCACTCACATGTCCACACACTCGCACATCCTGAGGTCAGGAGTGGTGGCCTGGCCCTGATAGGGGCCCAGCTAGTAAAGGCTGTAGGTCAGTGGAGTCACTGGTGTGACTCTCTAGCTCCCCACCATCCCCCTCCATGCTCCAGGCGGCCTGTCAGGAGGGAGACACCAGATCTCAATGGCTGTCACCAGGCCACTGTCCACGCCATTCCTTCTGGTAACAAGACCCCAGTTTTCCTCTCAGGAACTGTCCCCTACCCCTCCATCTCAAAGGACAAGGTTTGGTGGGACTGACACCCTCAACACCTCACTCCTGCTTTCATATCAGGGCTTCCAGCTGATGACTCAATTGAGACCTGTGACAGCAGCCCTGGGACATTTCCTGTAATTATTCTGAGGGCCACTCTTCTTCTTGCTGGGCGATCGAACTACCAGGATGAAAGCCATGAGGTGGGGGTTGGGGAGCAAGAGGAGACTAGGACTAAAACTAACAAAATACACAGCCATGTCCTGCTATGTAAATACATCTGATTCCTACATCCCATGTATTGAGCTCAGACCTTTAGCAAGTGGCAGGAGTTCAGAAGTCAAAGGATTCATCTGAAAAGTGATCCCAAGTTACTGAGAATCTGAGAGCAGAGGGTCAGAATTTGGAGAGAGCTCTGATCGCAAGGGGTACCTGTACTATTGGTGATCTTGTGAGTTCCTCGAGCCAGCCATGCCTGAAGCTGGATAACTCATACCCTTTTCAGATATGTGCGTCAACACCTTTCCCCAGGGTTTTGGAAGGTAAAAGCCGAAGTGCCCGTGCACGTACAAACGTGCATTCAGGGGCACATGGACACTGCCAATCCCTGCTCCTCCTCTCCCAAGGCAAAATCCATTTCTGAAGGAAAACTTACCTCCTTCAAAGGCTCTGCTGCTACCATGGTCTCTTTCTTCTTCTTCTTCTTCCTTTTCTGAGCCAGCTCCTCAACAATTGGCTGTTCCACCTTTTTCTTAGCCTTTGTTTTGTTCTTCCCTGGGGCCTTAGCGTCCTCCCCTATTGGGATGTACTCTAGAACCTCAACCTTGACCGGCTGCTGCTTCTTTCCTTTCCTAGGGCTGCTTGCCGTGGACCTGGAGAGCCCCGAGTGGCCTAGGAGGGTGTCTTCCTCCTGGTGGACTTTCTTCTTCTTCACTTTCCCGCTGTGTTCTCTGGAGCTGCCCTGCTTCCGTTTCTGCCCCAAGGCCGCCTGCTCCTCGGCCCCCTTCCCCACCGTGCATCCATAGGAAGCATCTCCGGCCTTACAGGGCAGTGGGTCCCGGATGGGGTAGGCTCTGGTATCCTGGGCCTTTTTTTCTTTCTTGTGTTTTTTGAGCTTCTTGCCAGCACTGGCGGCTTTCTCACCCTGTCTGGGGTCCAAGGAGGCCTTTAGCCCTAAGCCCTGTGACCTGGCCAAAGGCAAGGACTTCTTTTTTTTCTCCCCTCTGAAGGACTCTGAGTGGTCAAGGGCCAGCTTCCTGGGGCTGGGGGACTTCTCCGTCCATCTGGCTTGTGATGTGGGCTCAGATTCTGGGAGCTCCTCACAAAGGGTGCTGTGGCCTTTCTTTTTCTTTTTTTTCTTCACCAGGGGCATCTCAGGTGCCTGCCCTTGGCTAATGGTCCTAGAGGGGGCTGTGCCCCTCACAGAAGAAGTATCAGCAAAATAATTGGCATCATTTATAATTGAGTATTGAATCTCTGGTTCTTTGACCACTTTTTTCTTCTTCTTTTTTTTCTCTGGGAGCGCAAGACCCAGGTCTACTTTGTGAGTCTTCGTGATCATTTCTGGAAAAAGAAATGGTACAAGTTATCACCACATCCAGCCCCTACTGCTCAATTCTATTAAGCTCTGCACAAAACCTAGGTGGGTGGTCTGAAAAGTCAGGGAACTGGAAAAATGGCTATGATTCCTTTAGAGCGATGGGAAATCCGCTAGAAGTTTAAATTCAGAAAGCCCTACATTTTAAACTGCTCAATTAATTACCTAACTTCCCCAAGTCTCAGTTTTTTCATCTGGAAAAAGGGGGTGGAGTGGGACCAACACCTCTTCCTTGAAGAGTTATTAAAAGGGAATAAGGGAGATAATCCATGTAAAAAGTCTGGGATATTGTTTCTTTTTCTAACTCTGTCCCTCAAAGCTCTAAGCACGGGCATTCATTCAACAGGCCATTTACCAAGGGCCCAGCCTGGACCAGCAACTGAGGGCACAACTGTGATCAAGTCAGAGAGACCAAAGGCTACTCTCGGGGCTGAGATACAGCAGACAGAAATCCTAAGGTCAACCCTTCTTGCCAATTCCCACCAGAAGGATCAACAGTGACCCAATTAACCCCATATTCTGGCTCATCTGAATGGTTCTTTGGGTCTAGAAATGAGTCCTCCGCCCTTATTCCAGGTAACTTTTACAACCTTCTAACTCCCATCCCACAAGGCACAGTGAAAGGAAAGGCCCCAGTTAGGACTTGAAAGATGTGGGTCAAATCGTGGCCTCACACACTCGTGCCCTTGGCTCCTCTGGGCCTCAGTTTCCCTCTCCATAGGAGAGTGAATAAGAGGCTGCTCAGGACAGGAGCCACATCCGGACTACAAGCCTGTTTCACTGTTTTTACATTTCAAATTGATTGCCAACATCTCATGCAAAAAAGTAGGTAGATTTGAGAGAAAGAGGCATGGTATCAACAATACAGATCTAAAAGCAAGGACAGCAGTAAGGAGAGGGTGATGGACGTTGTACCCTACTAGTTATCAAGGTTTTCTGAAGAACAGAAGTTTCCAGCCTGGGCAATACAAGTAAACAGACTGTCTTGGACAGATGACTTAAGATATGCAAGCGGAGGTCTGGGGATTTAGCTCAGTGGTGCGGCGCTGCCTGCCTCAAAAGCGTAAGGTCCTGAGTTTCTAGTACCAAAAAAAAAAAAAAAGAAAGAAAAGAAACCCAAGTGGAGATGTTTACTGGACAGGTGAATAAATGTGTCCGGGGCACAGGGGTGACCATGTGGGCACAGGTGCCACAAACAAGGCTATATGAATGGTAACTGCGCTGGACCAAAACCCGAGACAAGAGCCCAAGAAATTCAAACAGAGAGGCTTGCAGAGGGTGAGTGTGCAAACCTGGAGAGGATGGAGTCAAGAAAGCCCAGCGCGCTTCAGGATGGTGGAATGGTCGAGAGAGCGGAAAATAAAGCCACGGGAGGTCAGAGGTCAGCTTAATCCGATTCTGTCCCCATCTCTGCCAGTCTGAACCCTGCAGCATCCTCCTCTTCAGCCCTACGACCCCAAACGTATTCACTCTTTCAACGCGAAGGGAAGAGGAAACGAGCCTTACGATGCATCTTCTGTAGACTCAAATGCTTTCTCTAAAAGCGCATTTACATTCCCGCGGAAGCCTCCTAAATGCCGGTTTGCCTATTCAGGCTCACGGACTTTGGAGACGTTCATCCACTAGCGCTAGGTCACGAAACCAACAAGCGGCAAAACAGTGATTCCAACCCAGGCCCTGCACCAATCCTCGATCCCACTGCACCCACCAGTAGGACTTAAGGGGGTCAGCTGGTGGGAGCGGCCGCTCCAGGGCTCCGCCGCGACGAAGCTGCCGTAAGAGCATACAGCGAGGGGTTAGGTAGGGTCCCCGGCCGCCTTCCAAGCGGGAGAACTTCGTGGAGGCGGCGGCCTCAGGCCCCGGCAGGTTGTGGGGTACAGGACGTCTGCTTTTCCCCTCTTCGCCGCCGCGCAAATCCCAGGCCTAACGTACGGCCCCCGCACGCTGCTCAGCTACCTTCGCACTCACCTGCTGGTCAGACCTCCCCGCCTCCACGTGAGAGCGCGCTCTGCCGCAACCCGGAAGTTATTTCGAGTCGCTGGGCCGCCTCCGCAAGTTCCGGCTGCTTCCGGGTCGCGGCGGTGAGGGGAACGCGGTTACCGCGGAAACCGCGACCATGGAGGCGACTCGGCCAGTCTCTAGTGGTACAGTGCAGCGTGAGAAACCCACAGGCTCTGCGGATTCGTTGGTCACCCCGACGTCTGTGCCTACTGGGTCTCCCGTGTCTCCTGAATCTGTCTCCCTGGGGCAAGTCGCCGAGCCACCGGGCAGAAATCTGTGGGAGCAGATCTGTGAGGGTAGGCAGCCCCGACTGGCCTAGAGGGGCGGGGCCCGGGCAGCCGGGGGGCGGCCTCGTGTTCTGAGCGCCTACTGCCAGCCAGGCCGCTGACGTTGGAGGCCGCTGGCGGTGTCGCGCAGCCCCTTCGGCGTCCGCATTTTAAGCACAGGGAATCAGCGCCCCAGGTCATTCTAACACGTGGGAGCACACGCGTTGAGTACCTTGTAGACAGAGGGGTTTTAATCCCTTCTTGCTTCAAACTTGGCTGTGTGTGGTACTGGGACTAGGAATTGAAAATCCAGGCCCTTTGCACAGATATGTTCTTGGTTTTTTTGAGACAGGGTCTTGGTATGTAGTTCAGGCTGGCCTTGAACTCACTATGTGTAACCCAGGCTGGCCTCGAACCCACGGAGGCTGCCTCAGCCTGCCCACTACTAGGATTACAGGCGTGCACTGATATTTTGAGACAAGGTCCAGCTAGGCTGGGCTCCAAGGTGCAGTCTTCCTGTCTCTCCCATAGTGCTGAGATTATGTGTGTGCACCACCATGGTCAGGCTGTTCAAAACTTACTCAATACCTACAAGCAGAGTTTCATTTACTTGTGCTTTTGTGGCCCTACCGATATAGGAAATTATACAGGACCCCTAAATGTGATGTAGGGGAAATATTAGAACTCCCAACCTGCTAGATGTCCATGTCCAACCCACGGAGTTTGTGTTCCCCAAATCGAAGGATGAATTTTAGGGAACAATGAAGGTTAAGAGTAGAAAGTATTTATTTGGATAGCACATTGAGAAGTTGGTATATGGTGTTTGGGGTGGAGATTGATTGATTGATTGATTGATTGATTGATTGATTTTTGGTACTGGGGATCGAAGTCGGGTCCTTGCGCTTGCGAGGCAGGTGGCTGAACCACTGAGCTAAATCCCCGGCCCCAGAAAGTATTTATTGAGGGGAAAGATACAACTCTTGAGAGGCAGGAGGGGACCCAAAAGTGGGGTGCCATGAACCTCACTTCTCGGGAAATTTTATAGAGCACAACCACTTGGATACAATGTGGGTTACAGCTGTGATCAACCAATAAGATTATAAGTATAGTCGCTTGATCCAATGGGGAAGCAAGTCACATAGCAAGTGTACATAGAAGAAGCGAAGAACTTTTCAGGAAGGGATGAGTCTGAGGGTCTTGGTCACCCACCACAGTGACTGATGTCTATCTAGACTTCATTAGACCAGGTGTTACCACTTGTTTTAGGCCTGGTCATTTCCTCTTTATCTTGAGGACTTGCCTCCAACAGATGTGCCTCTGGCCACAGTTGTAATGTGTTTTTATCTTTGTTCTGACTCTTTCAAGGACCTAGCCCTGGCTGACTGCCTATAATATTTTTGCTTAGCTTTGCTATCTATAATAATACCTGTTCTGAAAAGGTACCCCTAACTGTTGTGAGGGGGCAAGGGGCAATGACCATTCTGGCTACTTTAGGCTTAAGGGGTGACATAATTGTGATTGGCAATAGAGACACTAGATGTCTATCTAAAGGCCCTCAGTAGACATCAGACGTTTTCATCTTGGGTAGCCATATACCTTTATCCTGACTCTCTCAAGGGCCTAGCCCTGTCTGACTGCCTATAATATTTCTGCCTAGCTTAGCTGTCTGTAATACTACAATCCTCTTCAATTAAGTTAGACAAGTTACTTAACTATCTTGTCTGTAAAGTGGGTGTAATAATAACCCTTGTTTTGTGGTGGTGGGAGGATGGAATCAGATAGTCCTAGAAGGTGCTTAACAAACTGCTTCATTTACAGCAAGAGCTGAGTAAATGTACTTAATGAACAGCACTGGGTGTTTTGTTCCGCTCATGAGGCTGTAAGCTCTTCAAGGTCAAGGACTCGGATTGTTGTGGCCACCGTCACTATCTTGATGTCTGAAACAGCACTGTTTCTTAATCTGTGCCATCAAACATGGTAGCCACTAGTCCTGTGGGGTTGTTGAGCATTTGAAATATACTTAGCATAGTTGAGGAACTGAATTGCTTATTTTATTTAATTTTAACAGCCACAAGTGGTTACTGTATTGGGCTGTGAAACACTGTAAATGTTTAGTGACTAGGAACAAGAATGAATGCACCAATACGTGAAGGAGTGGGAGAGTGATGCGTTGAAAGAAATAGAGAATACGGAGGAAAAGAGTAGTGGACCCAGAATCTGTAGGTACCTTAAAGGCCATCTATTTCAACCTTCACCCAGTGCTTAACCACTTGGCAGTTCAGTTATTTAAATACAGGATGACTTGGGCCCAGGATTTAGCTCAGTGGTGCTGCTGCCTGCCTGGAAAGCGCAAGGACCCAAGTTCAATCCCCAGTACCCTAAAATAAATAAGTAAGTAAGTAAGTAAATAAATAAATACAGGATGACCAAACATTGTATACTTTTTCCGTTAATTTTTGTAAGATAATATAACAGGAAATATAAAAACAACAGTTTTATCAAATGTATTCAATGCAGGAATCAACGGGTTAAAATGACACCTACCTGAGCAATACTTGGGATAGTCAGTATGTAAGCAAACGTGCTGCTCAGGTGATGCTATGGGTAAACTATTAAGTAGTTAAAGTTCTTCTAGCATTACGTTGCACTAGAAAAAAATGTTTCTTACCCTTTGGTGCTGTGATCCAAGAAGCTAATCCAATCACTCTACCATAAACATCTACTCAGGTATTAGAAGGTAGTTATTGTGGCTGTCTTTTTCCAAGTGTGTTCACTTCTCCAAGTCAAACAGTTCTTTATAATACAACTTAGTAGAAGAGTGTTGTTGGGAAAGTTGCTCCTCTTATTTCTGCAGGGGGCCATTGTTAGACCTTCACAAGGCTGTTGTGAGGACTAAATGAGATAATGTATGCAAAGGTTCTCTGGACAGAGCCCTGCAATTAGAAAGTACTCAATAAATGTTCTTTAGTGTCAGCAAAGAAATGTGCTTTTCATTGTGTTTTAGAGTGTGTTTATTTGGTACATCAGGCCTGTAGGGAGAAAGCAAAGACAAAGGATGTGGGGCCAGGGATGTAGCTCAGTGGCGCACACTTGCCTGGCAAGTGCAAGGTCCTAAGTTTGATCCCCAGTACCAGAAAACAAAACAAAACAGAACAAAACAAAGGGTGTGGAGGCTCTCTGAAAAGCAAGTGAATTGACTACATTTATTTATAAAGTGATGGAGTTTAAATATTGAAGTTAATGAAGTCAAAAATGGTGAATTACACACATGGGCACTGTGATTATTTTAACCTGATTAAATCCAATTCTTAAACATCTAACATGCACTTTTCTGTAACAAATACACAGTGAATAAATTCAGTTGCTTATAAGAAACATGAAAACCTAAGCTTTGTGGTAATCCTTAGGTTAAGTATTACATTCTATTAAGATGTCTCCATTTAAAAAGTAAGTAACCACATGGAACAGGCCTATCAGAAGCCTAATTTCATGAAGATAAGATACAGCATAGGTAAATTATATTACTTTAACAAGACCTTCATCCTCCCTGCTTCATGCTGTTTTGTGTTTGTGCATGCCTGCCTCTGCAATAACTTATTTGTAAATGTTCTTCATTTTTCCCCTCCTCTTTCCAGTGATGACTGTAGACTGTATTCTCAAAAGCACTTGTATTAGTTTCAATAAACTTTTCTTCCAAGGCTTCCAACCAAATCTAGCTGGCTTGTGACTTATGATATTTAACTGGTTTTAACCAAGACTGAGTGTAAATATTTGAGGCTTACAGTTTTCTTTTTTCTATTGCTGTGATTACTGTCCTTAATTCATCACTTAATCAGATACTCTCCAGGTCAAAAACCCTAATGCTATGATAAATCTAATCCCCTGTCCCACCTGCCAGATACCAACATGGATCAGCTTTGAATCGATGCCTGTTCCTCAGCAAAGCAGCTGAGCAAGTCAGAGAAAGATACCAGTCAGTTCTCAGCACTGCTCATCACCAGCATCCGTCAGTGCCTTGCCTGTGCTCACACTCAGAAGTCCAAGATTTTAATCCTTCTTCAAATGTTCTGTGATAACACTTGGCGCAGAGGCATTCACTGAGAGGAATCAGTCATTTAGGAAGTTCTTTATGCAACCCACATATTTGCATCCATATACGTGGAAGACTATGATTCACCACTTAGCCCCGCATTTAGGCTTTGGTTTTGCATTAGTCAGCTTTCTGTTGCTGTGATAAAATACTTGACACAACTTAGAGAAGGAAAGACTTATTTTGCCTCATTGTTTCAGAGGTTTCAGACCATGGTCATCTGGCTCTATTGCTCTTGACCTTTGTCGAGGCAGAAACATCATGGCAGAAGGGTGTGGCAGAAGACAGCTGCTCACCTCTCGGCAGCCAGGAAGCAGAGAGGGAAAGAGAGATACTCCTCAACAAGATATATCTACCAGAGGCTCACTCCCAGGGACCTACTTCCTCCAGCTGGGCCCATTCAGCTATTAAGTCATCTTTCCCTCTCAGCCAAGTATCTAGAAAGAACACACTGCCCTGTTCACATCACTTCCATTTCCATTCCCTTGTCAACCCAAAGTAGACTAGTTTCTACTTTATTTCTCCAAAGAAGTTACTCATACATTCAGCCAGCATATATATCTGCCAGTGGTGGGAGCTATTTTTAGTGCTGGGTCAGGTATGACCCTGACACTTCTAGATATCAATGAATTCATGATTCTGGGCATTTCCAGATATCAATAAATTGCTTTCCATCTCAGTGAATATCACCATCATTCACTCAGCTGTCCAGTCTAGAAACTGCGGATTCATCCAACACATTTCCCTTTTTCTATGATCATGTTTATTTGCCAATCTCTGGATTCTACTTACAGATTATTGTATAAAATGAGCAATTGTTCCCACTTGTTCTTGAAGTTCGTTTAACATTCACATAACATTAAATTTCCCTAGTCAATCTCATTTATAGGTTTCAGTAATTGAAAGATTGTAAACGGTTACAAATTTAATATACCTGACT